CTTGCAGGCTCCACAGGACGGATCTGGGTTGTCCGCTGGCGCAATTTTGTGGAGATATGATCTCAGCTTGGGCGATTTTCCACCAGTTCGCTCCTGTTTATTTTTGCTTGGAATATTGTTAGTGAAATGGAAATGTTGGTGGGTTGTTGTTGATGATGATGATGATGATGATGATGATGATGATGATGATGATGATGATGGGGAGGAGGCACGGAGGAGGATGATTATATAACGTGTGTGTGTGTGTGTGTGTGTGTGTGTGTGTGTGTGTGTGTGTGTGTGTGTGTGTGTGTGTGTGTGTGTGTGGGTACACGATGATTCAAACAATCGTGACAAAACAATCAAACAAATGTCACAAAACATATTTTCCAAACAGCCAAAAGCCTGCCTCCTAAACAATCTATGCCCCCTCCCCCACGTTCCTCGGGGTGTTAGGGGGATAACCGAGTCATCCATGTTGTTTGGAAGCATTGTCTTTTTTACTTCCCCTTGCCCACCACCACACACACTTGTCCCGCTGTGTCATGACGCGGTGAGATCAGCCGCTCGTCATTGTTGGAGATTTTTGTACTGTTAGGGGTATCATTTCCAAGCTTGTTCTCTTTACTTGCTTTTGGCTTTTAAAAAAATATCCATATAAAAGTCGAGATATTTGCGGTTGAAGGAGGTGTGGGTCGCCTGGTGTCAGAGGTAAAATTAGCGTAAAAATGGCCGTCAAAGTTTGGGGACTTCCAGCGCTTCAGTGTCCTTGGAAACTGCAAATTTACATATTGTTATCGTTTGTACCTTTGATCAATGTTTTTCGTTGAAATGCTCACAGAAATTAAAGGTGTTTTTAAATGGGCATAAAAGGTGTTGAGCCAAAAAACAACATTCGATTAAAAAAAAAAAAAAATATATTGCCTGACGGGCGGAAAAATGTTGGTGTCTTCGATTTCATTATATATTCATTTATTCATAAAGTGGAGACGGAAGCTGACGACAGACCATAGTTAGAGAGCAGGAAAGAATCTGAAAGGAGAACATATTCGATTTTCCCTCTCTATCCGGATTCGAACCAGGGACCTACTGAATGAGAGGTTAACACCGTAACCTCTAGACCACGAGAGCCTCCGATTTCATCATTTTGATAAGAGCCTGATGTCATACGATGCTTTGAAGATGAAACAGAGTTTTTCAACTAGGGACAGACAAACATGAATACGCCCCACTACACAAATGTACAGTTGTTTTCACCACTGCCTTGACAGACAACTAATTGAGACTATTTCACTTTCAAACTCCCAAAGTCCAACCCAAAAAAGGTCAAAAGTTCTTTATTTAAAATTTCAAAAAAAAAAGTGAAGAAAAAAACAAACAAACCGCACGCCCCCCCCAAAAAAAAACAACAACAACGACCAACAACCCCACAACAACAATAAAACAACAACAAACAACTAAAAACTCGCACACAAAAAACACACACAACCACCCCCGCCCCCCACACACACATACACCCACACAAGAAAACTTTGTATCTTTTCTTTGGCCGGCATATCATAAAGTGGACCGTGTAGTATCTGCTCTTTTTTTGGTTTAAATTTGCTTTTGTCTTTTTACGCGCCCACCTCCCCCACCATTTTTATCATCGTTATCGTTATTATTATCATTATGATGTAGTTGCAGTTTTTCTCAAGTTCCTGGATAGAACGAGGCGAGCATTAAAAAAATATAATGTCCAAAAAGAAAATCTGAAATAGCAGGTCTCTATTTAACACATTTTCTTGACCAAATAGACCTATAGGCCTACTATAATAATTAATTTACGTGATTCAAATGAAACATAACAACATACCCTTTTCAACATCATCATCATCATCATTGCCTTTCTCACCCTGGATCAGGATATAGGCCACGGACAAACACCTTCCACCTTTCCCTATCCCGGGCTAGTCGCTTGATGATGTCACTCCACGTCTTCCCACTTTTCTGTACATCCATTGTCGTGACTCTTCTCCTGGTCCCACGTAATCTTCCCCTTGATCTTTTACTTTTACCCTGTGGGT